CTTACAATTTCAATTAATAATCCTTGTCTTGAGATATTTGTCCTAGTTGAAAAAAATGTGTAAAATTAAATTAAATTATAAAATTAAAAAATGAAGCAAACAAACAAAAAAAAAGAAAACACTCCTAGAAGTTGCTTTGTGAAGGATGTGTCTTTGTATATGTGTGTGTGCATGTTCATAAGGGCGTGTGACAGTCAGGGAAAGGGCGCTCTTCCTCAGTCCTGCTCCTCCTATTTAAGACAGTCTAGACTGATCTCTGCCGAGTCAGGGGTCTGCCTGTCTCTCCCTCTCTGTCTCTAGGATCACAGATGCAGTGTTCCATGCCGGCTGTTTACCTGGGTGCTGGGGATCCCATCTCAGGTCCTCTCCCTGAGCTGTCTCACCAGCTCCTCTTACAGTTTCTAAAGAAACTCACATAGAAGATGCATGGTAATTGGTGTGTTCTCATTTTCCTAAATCCTTAGGTGTGTGCAGAATGTGTGTGTATGGATCCTAATGTTTTGGTTCATAGTTAGTTATATTGCCTCTTTCTGTAAGAGTGAATAGAGTAATATGACTTATCAGCATCCCCATAGGCTCTAGGAAAACAGTTAATAGGGAATACAGAAATAATACAGTTTGTCTATAGGGTCACTGTCGGCTGGCTGAAGTTTCCAGTCTATAAAAAAATAGCAACATGTGGTATTTATAGTAAGTGGAAAGTGCACACTACATGGCAAACTTCGGCAGCTGTATAACATTTATATTTTCTGAAAACAGCGTTTTGTTTTCACATGCACACACAAACACACAGACAGGATCCCCACACGCATGCATGCCCTCAGGGCACACATACACAAACTCTCACCTATGCGGCATCACCACCAAATCTCACACCACCCTTACCAACCAAGACTTGCACCACCCCAGCCTCTGTTTCAGGTCCCTTTCTGCTGTTTCAGTGGTCTCTCCCTACCTAAGCTTAGTGCCTATGCAAGTTGACATTGAAGCCCTGTCATATATCATTCCTACAGGCTTTACATAAGTGATTAAAAAACTCATCAAAGTGGAACTATTGTAATACTATGGGAGAGTGGCCAATCTGTAGTCAAATATATGCAAATTAGAGCCGTAATGTTCCTCATTCACAAACATCAGGAATCTTTTTAAGAATCTAAAGCCAAGGTGGAAATGAAAGCTGACATAATTGGTAGTGTTATACCAGTGTGCCTTTACTTCTTTAGAAAGCTGTGTAGTATTGTATACTGAGCCATGAAAATTACCCAACTGTCAGATAAAAGGCATTATTTAACAATACAGTGTACTAAAAAAAAAGTACTGTGTACTTATGAAGGCAGAGTGTTGTGTCTGAAGCCCCAGTACTAGATTGGCTAAGCTAGAATGAGAATAACACTTGCCGTATCATTATACATTATTCAACAGTAAATATGTTGAGGGTGGGAATGTTTTCCTTTAATACAGCACAAGTTGTGAGCTGCAAAGAGGTTTTGTTGTTGTTTGTTTTCTTGTGGTTCAGTGCCCAGGGCCTTGGTGGCAGGTATCCAACCACTGAGATACACTGTTTTTTAACTAACTTTTTAAAGAAATTCGTAAGAAGCATAACTGAAAGATTATTATTGTGAGTATATCTATTGTTTTTTTAATGAAGCATTACTTAAGCTTTTGCTAATTTCTGTTGTTGAGGAAGACTTTTGTCCATCTCATTTTTAGTGTGATCCATCTTACTGATGAACTTTGTTGTTTACAATTATCCATCAATGGAAATCTATCTCAAAATCAGTGTGTGTATGTGAGGAGTCCAGAGGGAGGTAAACTAGGTTTCGCTTGACCTGTGAATTGTATGATCTCAGAACACATTTTGATTCTGCTCCCCTCTGTTCGTCTCTGCTGGAAGGCTTTCCTGCAGTGAACCACTGCATCTCTTAACTAGCTAATGCTCCTACAGCCTTTCTCCTCGGGCTTTTGAGAAGTCTTGAGATTTGTGACTGATTGGCCATCCCTGGGACATATACCCACTTCAAAACTTTTTCTCCAAGACATGTTGTCATTGATCTTATCACAACCTTGGAGTTTGCCTTTAGGTCCCTAATAGTACATCTTGACTTGGCTTTTTTTTTTTTTTTTTTTTAAATTTATTTTATGTGGATGTGTAGCTAGAGTTTTCCTGCCTTGCCCACAGTCAGGACAAATTGTTGTCACCCACCAGTCCCATAGCCGCTCAGACCCAACCAAGTAAACACGGAGACTTATATTGCTTTATAAACTGTATGGTCGTGGCAGGCTTCTTGCTAACTGCTCTTATAGCTTAAATTAATCCATTTCCATAAATCTATACCCTGCCACGTGGCTCGTGGCTTACCGGCATCTTCACATGTGGCTTGTCCTTGTGGGCAGCCGGCAGTGACACCTGCCTTCCTGTTCTTTTATTTCTCCTCTCTGTTAGTCCCGCCTATACTTCCTGCCTAGCCACAGCCAATCAGTGTTTTATTTATTGACCAATCATAGCAACTTGACATACAGACCATCCCCCAGCACAGCCAAGTACAGATCGTCTCAGATACCTGCACTCAGGCCCGTGGTCCTAATCATCCTCTATGAGGACCTGCTGGGTGAAGCCACGAGGAACCCAAGAACGGGCTCCCCCACAGGACATACAGAACATCCCACAGCACTCCCCCCCCTTTTTTTAAAAAAAGGAAGGTTTTAACCTTAACTAAGTAAAATTACATATAATTTGGGAATTTGGGTGTAGCTTCTCTTACTACTTCCTGCTGGAGGGGGGCGCTGTATCTTATGGGGATACAAAGAAAATTTTAGGATTATGGAATAGTCCATGAGGCTGTATTGTGTACCTGAGTGTATGTGCACATATGTGTATCTCAGGAGGCCAGAAAAGGATGTTAAATCTCCCGAAGTTGTTGTTACAGGCCACTGTGAGCCACCCCACATGAGTGCTGAGAACCCAACCTAGGTCTTTTCAAGAACAGATGCTCTGAACTGCTGAGCATCTCGCCAGCCCCTCGGTTGTGCGTGTATGTTTTAACTTAGTCCTCTTGAATTTTAATACTTCATTTTCTTGTACTTGTGAAATTCCTTGGATTTTTTTTTTCCAGGTCTGAAGATCGAGTGCAGGGAAACACTCTGCTGACTGAGCTGTCTATAACTTCAGCCCTGTCTACTGAACTTTTGTCTTTAAACTTAATCATGGCACAGAGACTGCTACATAATGTGACTGTTTCTCTAAACTTTTTAATAGTATCATCTGCAGACTACATTTGAATGCAAATGGCGATCTGTTTTCTTTTTAGAAGGAAGTAGTCTCTTCAGAAAAGAGCTTTAGATTAGAAACACAAGCTCTCTGCCTGTCCCTCCATGCACACATGGCTTTGTTTTCCACATAGCTAACTTTATGTCACACTTAAAGATGTCAGAAAACCTTAAAAATAATTTTGTGTGGGGGTGTCTTTCAGAATAGTTTTTTTAGCTGGTGCACACCTGTAATCTTAGCCCTCTTAAGGCTGAGGCAGAAAGATCCAAGAGTTCAAGGCCAGCCTAAACTATACATAGTGAGGTACTATCTCTCAATAAATAATGTAAAAATAAAAGAAAGTAGGTGATTCAAATTCCGTTACACTGGGAGTCCTGAATTGTGTTCATGTAAGACTGTGCTTGTTTCTCGGAGGAAGGAAAAGGAGTTCTACGTATAGACGCTCGGGAATGCTGAGGCAGACGGCAGTGTTGCTGGAGTGGGGCTTGTAGAGTTCTGTTTTCTTACTGGTGTGTGCGCACAAGTGTGGGTGCCGGAGGGGCCAGAAGAGAGCATCAGGTGCCCTGGGACTGGAGTGACAGGCAGCTATGAGCCACTTCAGGTGGGTGCTAGGAGCTGAACTCGGACCCTCCAAAGAACAGTATGCTAACTACTGGACCCACTCTCCAGCCCAGTAGAGTGGAATATGTCAAGTGTGTATTCTGTAAAAGCCAAGGGGGTAGTGGATGCACTGTGATTCACCTCTAAACCCCCTTTTCAAAGGAGAGTACTGGCTGGCAAGGTTTGGGATATGTTGCCATACTATTTCTCTGCCTGGATCTTGTTCCAGTTCTGACAAGAATGGTTAAGTGACTTTGAGATGAGCATTGCTTAGGAATGTCATAGTTTTTGTTTTCCCTTTCTCATTATAACTTCCTTATCCCATGTGATGGCAAAGTGTTCATTGTGGTTAGTTGAGAGTCTGTCTTGTGCTGGACAATGTAGCACATGCCTTTAATACCAGCACTCGGGAGGCACAGGCAGAAGCAGAGGCAGGCAGATGTCTGTGAAATCAAGGATAGCCTGGTCTACAGAGTGAGTTCCAGGATATCGAGGGCTACACAGAGAAACCCTGTCTTGGAAAAACAAAAACAAAATAAATAAAAGAAAAAGAAAGAAAGCCTGTCTTGTGTCCTTAGTTAAATAGAAGATTATCTCATCTTGCTCTCAAAGTAGACTTCAGCAAGAAATGAGTGATTACAATCTTGGAAATTGAAGCTAAAAGTTAAAAATCAGTTTGTATTCATGGAGGTTATGTGGATTAGGCCTTTGAATTTTTGTGTAGCCCTAAATCTTCATGATGGATTGCTCCCACATAAACAGCGAACTAAACAAGTTCTCTCATCTATTGAATTTAGAACTAAGTGGTTACAGAATGTTTATTAAAACCAGTTGTCCTTGCAGTAGCATATTTGATATATTGAGCATGTATGTTAGATAAGTAGGGGTGAAGGGCATATATATGATTCTATTAAAGTGTCCTAAGATTACTTAGGTATACATTTAAAGAGTTGAAGCCATAGCTGTTAAATTCCACCTGAATGAAGAGATGCTGCAGTTTTCAAGTAGAATTTTTGTTGTTGCCTTTATTGTCCTCATGTTCCTGTCTAAAAACCCTTCTCTAAAAGTTAGAAGTGTTAATCATGCCTGTGTTTCTCCCGAAACAATCATATCTTTCTCTTTCCTTCTGTAGATTTAGCTTTGGAATCAAACCCTTCTGACCACCCCAGGGCAAGCACAATTTTCCTCAGCAAATCTCAGACGGATGGTAAGAAACTTTTTTTCCCACTGAGGAAAGCCTGAAAATATTTCATGGAATTTGTATATTGACTTAAACTTCTCATCTACTTATCTTTGATATGTGATGATATGTTTGCTTTAATATTACTCTTTTAGGGAGAACATGTAGATTTTGTAGACACATCCCCACCTTGTTGGCTGCAGATATGTGATTTGGAAGTGACATGGATTTACAGCTGTCTGCCTCTTTCCTTTTCCTTAATCCAGTAGTGTGTTTTAAAGACGAATGATAGAATTTAGGGTTCTGTTAGATTTTTAGGTGAACCACCAAAACAAGTGTGTTGTATATGGTCATTTTGACCTTACTTCATATAGCGCTGCCCACCCAGTAAGCCTGTGTCACACCCAGATTTATGTGACTCAAAATTTTCAGGCTTAAAAAAAAAAAGAAAAGAAAAATTTCATGCTATTTAAAACCTCTTCATTTTGTTGCAACAAAACTCAGAGCAAACATACCCTAATATTTCCTAGGTTTGCTAGTATGTGAATTTTCGGTTGAGAGTCTGAACTATGGAATTTTTCTGTACTGTTTTCTGTATTGTTTGGTTAACGTCTTTCCCATTTTTTTCTAAAAAAGTTAAGTAACTTTCTGTTGATTATAACAGTGTGAATATAAGAAGTGAGGATTCTACAGTAATACTGGGAATAATGCAATAATGCAGCCCAGTTTTAAAAAGGGGAGTGGTGGTACTTCTAGCCTGCATTTTCATAGTTTGTGTCTATTTTGCCCATCTTGAGCTATGCTTCCCCCCCCCCCCCCAGCTGAGGACCTAACCCCCAGGGCCTTGCGCTTGCTAGGCAAGTGCTCTACCACTGAGCTAAATCCCCAACCCCTTGTCTTGAGCTATTGATTCTGGTTAGTACTGCTGTATCTCTTTATGTGCTGTGGGCTTTTCTTTTTTTTTTTTTTAATTTATTTATTTTTATTTTATGTACGTTGGTATTTTGCCATGGATATTGGGTCCTCTGGAACTGGAATTACGGACAGTTGTGAGCTGCCATGTGGGTACTGGGAATTGAACTCAGGTCCTTTGGAAGAGCAGTCAGTGCTCTTAACCCCTGAGCCATTTCTTCAGCCCCGGGCTTTTTTTATATACAGGGTGAGGAAGCAATAAGAAAAGTTATCTTAGCCAGAGGTGGCGGTGCACACCTTTAATCCCAGCACTCGTAAGGCGGAGGGAGACAGGTAGATCTCTGTGAGTTCGAGGCCAGCCTGGTCTACAGAGCCAGTTCCAGGACAGCCAGGGCAACACAGAGAAACACTGAAAAAACAAAAGAAAAAGAAAAGCTTTCTGTGCCCCTCTCTTATTAGTGGGAAGGAATATGTGTCTAGAGTGCAGTCTAGTGCTCACAGAGGAGACAGGGTGGGGAAATGGTGTGGCCAAGTCTCTTTCTGGAATTTATATGCTGTAGAGGTCGTGTTCAGTTAGGTTAGCACACGCATTGAAATGCCCATTAAGCTAGGCTTAGTGTGTGGATGTATAACATAATTTTTATTAGCTGAATCTCTCACCTGCCCTCATTTATTTTGTCATTTCTTTTGTATATGAAAATTCTTGTTTGTGCCTACTATATTATATGATAGCTAAAAAAGTAAAATTTAGGTTTTAGATTTACTTCATGGAGTTTATTTTGACAAATTTGTTTCGTTAGAAACTATTTTTTAAAGTAGAACTGAATTTTATCTTACTTTGCATGTTGGTAACCCATCAGAGAAGTAGCAACTACTTTTATTTTTCTGTGGCATTTGTATCAGAATTGATCAGTTAATTTTTTTTATTCTTAGTGCGTGAAAAGAGGAAGAGCAACCATTTAAACCATGTAAGTAAATAGTTGGAAACTTAAGAAATTCGTAGTTTGAATTAAAAGTATGTTTGCAGTAACGTCTAGAAAATATAGTGGGAATGCAGTGCTGTTAGTGTAGACTGTTTTTGCACATTTTCCAAAATTCTTTTCTCAAATAACAAATTTACTTATGGACATAAGTATATATAAGTCTGACATAATACTATTTTTTAAAACAGGATTCTGACATTTTTATTTACTTATAGTTATATAACATGGTTATAATATAGAGACATGCTTGGATTTTTTTTCCTTTTTTATTCTGATTTCTCTTAAGATTTGCTTATTATTTATGTGTATGTGTATGTGCCTGCAAGAGTTTATGTGTATTTATGGGTCCAGGTGCCTTCAGAGGCTGGAAGAGGGAATCAGATCCTGGAACTGAAGTTAAAGGGAGTTGTGAGCCGCCTGAGGTGAGTGCTGGGAACTGAACTGAGTCTGGACAGGAGCAGTTAAGAGCTCACGGAACCATCTCTCCAGTGCCTTAGTCTAATTTGTAATTGAAGTAACAAACCATTCATTTTGGTACTGTCTGCTGATTTCCCATAATAGGTGGAAGTTGTTTTCCATTGTGACCATTATTTCTCTCTTGAATTTCCTCAACACACATACTATTTTTGTGAAATCATAAGTCAGTATTTTTGTTATGACTGTGCACATTGTTAATTGCTGGGTCATATTACTCCTCTTTCCACACCATAATTCTTTCTCTCCGTAGTTTTGAATCTGGATTCTCTAGGCCCTTTAGGTGACTCCCTTTTCCTAGCTCACATTAGCTTACACAGCCAAATACAGTGTGCAGCCTTGGCTGGTCTCTTGGCTTCCCAGTCTTGCTTTTGGTGTAGAGTTCATTTCCAGACCATTTGCACTTGCCTCTTTCTTAGCAGACATCCTTTTTACCCCAAACATTGTCACATTTGTCACATGCCTGTCAAAACTACTCCCATCTACTAGAGTACATGCGTTCTGGTTTTCTCCTGCAGGCCCTGCACAGCCTTTGGCGTCCTAGAGCAGTGAGGCTGGGTTTGGCTTAGGCCTCTTCCCTATTTTTCCTGGGATATGGCTTTGAAGTTACGGGGGTCTCACATGACTGCTCTCTTGTGTTGGTTCCTCCGTGGCCTCGATTCTCTGTCTTCTTACACTGTACTGGACCCCTTTTCTTGGGAAAGGACACAGTATTTGTAGTGACCTGGCCTGGAGAATTCCTCCTATACATGGAGTTCTAGGTTGGAACTAATTTCCATAGTCCTTAGGATACTTTTCTGTGACAGTCTCAAGTACATAGTGGTTTTGTTTATTTTATTTTATTTTCTTTTATGGTCCTGGGGATTGAACTCAGCTCTTCACACATGCTAGGCAGGTGTCCCTGGGCTGTATCCCCAAGGTATAGTGCTGCCATTAAAAATGTGTTACCTTGGAAGCTTGCAGTGTGTAACGCATTTCACACAGTATACCCCTTTGCCAAACATCTTTATTTGCAAATGTTCATTGCAAAGAGTCTTTGGTCTGGTTCGAACCCTCTGACTCCTGCTGTACTAGCAATGCTGGGCCCTCACTGGGACTCCTCTTGGATATCCTGCCGTTGTCCTGTGTCATGGAGATCCTGCAGTTTTGGGTCTGCAGGACTAGCCCTTCATGCACTCCTGCAGATCCAAGGCAAGATTTTTTTCTTTTGTTTTGGAAGTGAAGTTTCCAGGGCGGAGGGCGGATGCGGAGGGACAGCGAAATAAATGGATTTGGGGTATATGATATGAAATTCACAAAGAATCGATAAAGTTTTTAAAAATCTATTGCTGTTGTATGATATAGAGACATTCCCCTTTCTGGAGGCTTTAAGTACTTACTGTCCAGGATTCTGAAATATTATGATATGATTTGTTATGGACCTTTTAATTTTATTCAGAGCCAGTAGGTCTGCAAACAGTTTCTTCTGAGTTTTGTTTTTTTTTTTTTTCTTGTGTTTCTTGTGCTACCTTTTTTTTTTTTTTTTATATATATATATATATTTTTGTTACTCAGATGCTGGACCTCTAGGCTAGAGTTTCAGTACACCTGTCTACCTTCTCTCTCCCCCTCACTTTCTAGTCTGTCTTTTTGTTCTTGGTGAGTCCTTTGCTTTGTGTTTCAACCCTTCCCAGGTTTTCCCTGAGTCCTCATTTGCTACTGAAGTTTTAGCATTCCTATTAATTCCCGTTTCCTCGTCTTCACCTGCCTTGCTGGAGGCCTCTCCCTCCACTGTGTGGCTGGCTCTTGGCCTTCTGTGACTGGAAGTAACATACACTCTTAACTGAAGGGTCGCATTGCAAGGATTTGGATGCCAAGCTACCTTGGGGGGCCCCAGTATCTCTTTCTGGGGCCCCAATCTACAGGGCAGTTGAGTTTCTTCAGAGAAGGCTGTCTCAAATTTCTTCCTGGGAATTACAAGTTTGCTTGCTTTCTAAAAATTAGCAGCGTGAGGCAGTTCTGCTCCTCCTCAGTGCACTCTTCTGCCCTTGCATCTCCAAGACTGGTCTCTCTAAACTGTCGGCGTCAGCCGCTCTACAGAGAAGTCTATGTAAGATGGGACCAGGCGGACCAGCTGACTTTGGCTTCTGGTTCATGTTTTAGCTCACCTCCCGACGCGCTGTGGCTCTGGGTTCTGAGTCTACTCATACTCCTGTACCCTTAGGTCTCCATAGGCACCACTGTTGTGCTGCCATGCCATCTCTTTTTGGTGTTTGAGACCAAACTTGGAAATCAGATGTAGGTTCACTGGTCCAGTGGGCTATCCTGATCCTCCTGTCTCCGTCTCTGGAGTGTTGGGGTTGTAGGCATGCACCACCATACCTAGTTTAATTTTTTATCTTCTAAAGTATTAAAAATCCTCTGTCAGTCTTGTTTCCTGCATCTTGATAGAAAATTTTATTCCTTTAATTCAAGTGAAATGTCAAAGAAATAAGTTTGTGGTCATTCCATGGTGTTTAAATGAATTTAGCATCCATGTTTGGAGGCTGGGAAGACGGCTCAATGGTTAAGAGGGCTTCCTGCTCTTCCAGAGGACCCGAGTTTGGTTTCCTGCACCAACATGGTGGCTCACAACAACCCACAGCTTCAGTTCTGGAGGCTCTAAGGGTCTCTTCTGACCTCTGCAGGCACCAAGTATGCACATGGTACCCATGCATGCATGTGCTGACCGAAAAATAAACATGGTATTCTTTGTCTCTATTTTAGGAACCACCTGTTAGTAGTGGGCTTTGCTGCCTTTTTTAAAACATTTTGTAGGCTTAGGTTTATTAGTATAGTTTATGGAGGTTACAAGCCAGCAAAGGTAAGGTTAACCACAGCTGGAAGTTACTAAGTTTTTAAACAACATCAGGAGAAAGTTCCCTTTGGCGGCTGTGTTGGAGGCATTGCTCAGAGATTCACTTCTGCCCTTGTCCAGTTTCCAGACGGACAAGTTGGAGTAGCTGGACACAAGTGCTGTGTATTGGTTAGTGGCGAGATTTTGTGTTAAGTTTTCTCCCTGGACACTGGGAGTGTGGCCTGAAGGGGGCAGCAGTGGTGAGTAGATGTGGCTGCTGTTGTGAGCTGAATAGATGAATGGACTCTGAACTGATGGGAGCAGTGTTTGGTGTTGCTAGCCAGTAAGTCACTGATTGGCTACATGCACACTTAGGGGCTAGAAGACTGTATCTAATTAAATCTTTTACTGTTTCCAAAGACCAGCCAGTATACACGCACAGTTAGAAACCATGTATATGGAGGGAAATGGGAGGAAGTGTCACCAGAAGGTTTATATTTTATTTCCACTTCATTTTAATTCCCATCTAAGTTTCTTTGTCAAAATTGATTTTGTTACCATGTATAAGCTCTATTATTCCTTAATACAAGTTGCACTTCCTTAATTTGAAATCCATGATGTTCCAGAAGCTGAAATCTGAAACGTTTTAAGTGCCAACCTAACACCTTAAGTGGAAAATTCCAGAGCTGACCCCATGTGATGAAGTAGCAGGCAAAAACTGACAGAATTACCTTTAGACTGTTTGTGTAAGTGAGGAACACAGACAAAAGTGTCTGTGCTGCGGCTTGGGTCCTCTCCCCAGGAGATAAATGTATGTGTGTGTGTATATGAATATTCTAAAGCCCACTGTCTTGGTTAGGGTTTCTGTTGCTGTGATGAAATACCACGAGTAAAATCAGCTTGGGTAGGAAAGGGTTTGTTTTGCTTCTTCTTTCCCATCACAGTCCATCATCACGGAGGGAAGTCAGAGCAGGAATTGGAGGCGGGAGCACTGCAGGAGACCATGAAGAAGTGCTACTTACTGCCTAGCTCTCCATGGCTTGCTTAGCCTGCTTTCTTACAGCACCCAGAGGTGGCACCACCCATGGTGAGCCAGACCCGCCCTCATCAATCATCAGTCAAGAAAATGACTGCAGGTTTGCCCCTAGGCCAGTCTAAAGGGAGCATTTTTTCAGTTGAGGTTTCCTCTTCCAAAATGACTCTAGCTTGTGTCAAGTTCACAGAACACTAGCCAACACTCCTACAGTATTTTCTATCCCAAGATATTTTGATTTGAGATCCTCAGCCTATAATAGTGACCCTAAAAGGTATCTTCTACCGGAATAAAAGCATTTCACTGAAACTCAGTTTCATTTTTCATGTTGTATTTGTCTTTTGGGCATATAAAAGTATATAGTTTAACATCCAGATAATGAAAAGTACTCATGTTAACTGAATAGCTTAAGAAACATCACAGCTTTAGATATAATTAGAACACTTATAGTTTAAAAAAAATTAACCTTTCAGATAGTACTTTTGAAAAAACATAACATCTGGGGTATTTTGATAGGGAGCAAGTGACTTCGGTGTGAAACACATAGAACCTGTTTTATCTACCTCGTAGGTATTTCTGATTGTGAGCATCTAGCAGTTTTTACATGCTCTGCCCTTTCAACTCGTCTTCTGCCTACCCCATTTTTCATGTGTTTATGAGAAAGTACTGATGGGCAAAGTGATAGTATGATAGAAATCATTAATGATAGGAGGAAAGGAAGGCGCATCTGAATTAGTGGTTTTGTGTTTCTTAAGAATGCTGTTATTGGTATTTGTTTTAAAGAATGTTGCTGTTGATCTTTATTCAGTGACGCTATTTGACCATGGACCATATGGGTCTTACCATACTTTAGGTGTTTCATTGTCTGATATTGCTGTATTCTTGCAGTCTTTGCCAATGAATGGATACTTCTAAAGTGTTTTAAAGATAGTTGAGAGGGCTCAAAAAGTTAATTGTCTTCTTTCCAGTGACACTGTAGAAAGTTCGTCACTAGCTTATATCTGTAGTAAGATTCATCTCCCAATTTATAGTTAATTTTTCAGCTCTAGAGTTGAACCCAGGGCCAGCATACTAGTCAAGTGCTCTACCAATGAGCTACATCTCCAGCCTTATAATTCTTAACTAATAATTCTTCAAATATTTGAACTCCATAAGCTGTTAAGATTGTGTGCTCAGCATTTGGTGGTAGGGGTGTTTCGAGTCCTTTTCTGGAGAAGCTTAGATTTGTCTGGGGGATATCCTGCAGGCAGTTTAGGAGTACCCAAAGAGAACCCTTCTGTGGTGTGGTTGTTGGCAGAGATGTGCTGGAAAGTAGATGGGGTTCAAGGACAAAGAGGGAGAAAAAGGTATCCACTGCAGGGAGCAGCCGGTTGCCATGTGTGCTGAATAACTAGGGGAAACAACACTTGAGGTTTTCATTTCAGGAACATAATGGCACTGCACTTACACATGAAATGAAAGTTAATGTCCCAAAGCTGCCTTTGCCTTCTGTTTTCAGATGAGAGGAAATGTTAGCGCTTAAGGGAAGGGGCCCAGAGAAACCGGCCTGTGGCAGGCCAGCAGCCAGCCACACCAACTCTGACTTGAGAACACTGTGAGCCCACAAGATACTTGGTGTGTGCCTTGTGTTTACTGTACGAAGACGCTCTTGTGCCAGTATTCAAGGCATTGTGTTTTATTAAAGTACTGTGTAGAAGTAGAAAGCTGCTTTTGTTTAAGAGAGAATACTGAAACCTTACTTAAAACTTTTTTATAACGTTTATAAAGGAAATTGATAATAGGAACTTGCCAGGTTTGATGTATAGGTACCATACCAAGAGCTGCATTTTATAGCCCACTCCTCCAACACGATCTGTGGACATTCAAAGCTTCCAGTGGGTTCCCCGCAGAGCCACACATGCTGTTAGACTGAGGCAGTTCATAGACTGTGCAAATACCTTAATGCTTTATCATTTGACATTTTAACCAAGGGAAAAGAACACATTTTATAGGTTTAACTTACTGTGACATTCTCTTCTATTTCCCTTCCCCTTCAGGTATCTCCAGGGCAGCTTACTAAAAAGTATAGCTCATGCTCAACAATATTTCTAGATGACAGCACAGTCAGCCAGCCTAACCTTAGAACCACAATAAAATGGTGAGTACACTAGGCTGCCGAGCGAGCGAGCGCTGAGCCACAGAGCCTCTGCTAAAAGCATCTCAAGTCATTTGATTATCCTGTTAAGCACCCACTTCAAGACATTGGGGTCAATTAGATACTGAGTTTTAAGGGACTAAATGTAAATTTTCAATTTCCATTTTATTTTAAACTCCATGGTGGAAAGGAGAGCCAGTTAGCAAATAAGAAATTCCAGGAAAAGTGTGCCTCTCTTGGGTGCATTTATACTGTGAAAGTACTGTTGAATATAATAGATGTTTCTAGATCAATTAGTTTTCTACCAGTTACAGGCCTAAGACAATGCTTACTGTTTTGTAAACTACTCTTTGAATGAACAGTTTGTCCTCTACTGGCACCATAGTACACGAGCAGCCTCGTACATAAATTATAGTTGAAAATAACGTTGGAAATACCCTAAGATGAGCTCAGGTCTATAACAGTGACGACAAAAAAAAAAAAAAAAAAAAAGCTTCCCCACTACATTGGCGTTGTCCAATAAGTGTTCCTTTTTTGTTTGTAAAGTTTTTGTTTTGTTTTGTTTTGTTTTTTAATGTAGTTTGGGAAATGCTTGTTTGGAGTGTTAATACCTTTATTCCTAATTTTACTCCTTAGTCTAAATAGTAATCAGCTTATACATTAATTTTGTTTCTTTTTTTTTTTTTTTAATTTTTTTTGGCCAAGTATCAGTAATTTCCTCATTTAAAAATTAAGTTCTCAGCCGGGCGATGGTGGCGCACGCCTTTAATCCCAGCACTCGGGAGGCAGAGCCAGGCGGATCGCTGTGAGTTCGAGGCCAGCCTGGGCTACCAAGTGAGCTCCAGGAAAGGCGCAAAGCTACACAGAGAAACCCTGTCTCGAAAAACCAAAAAAAAAAAAAAAAAAAAAATTAAGTTCTCATTCATCATACTATATCTTTCTTCTCATACTTACAACAGCAGTTGAGATTAAATTGTTTTAGCAAAAACTTCACGCCAGTTCTCACAGGCCTGTGTGTGTCATCTGTCAGATGATCACCGAGTGCTGATATTTAGAAAAGCCTCAGTCGATGAGAAAAAAGATCACTGAAGTTTCTTTAGAGCCCTCAGATCATTTTGAACTCAAATGATTCTGATTTTTCTATATATAATTCAGTACATATTTTCAAAGAGTAACCTTGGTCAAACAAATAGGTTTCATGCCCCTCCCCCAACCCAGTGTAACCTAATTTTTAGGAATCCACTTTTGAAAGGATAGTTTGAATTTGCCTTCTTTAATTAAATTTTAAAAATAAATACATTTACTTGGTGAAATAAACATTTACCAAGAAAATTAGCGCAAATTGACTTTTAGGAAAGGTTTTGAAAAATGTTTATCATAGGCAATAATGCATGACTTTCAAGGAGATTAAAACTCATACAGCTTTTTCCGGAATACATGCCTGCAAGTGAACACGGCAGCTCATGTCTGTAATCCCAGCAGTTGGGAGGCTGAGGTGGTAGGATCCAGGAGTTCCAGATCATCCTCAGCTACATAGCAAGTTAAGGGCCAACCTCGGCTACGTGAGACCTTGTCTCTAAGAAAAGAAAAATACATGTCTGTGAGCACATGCATTTTTCTCATTTTTGCCTCTTTCCTCAATTCATTGATGCTGTCGGGCGTCTTTAAGAAAGGAGATGCATGTGAGGCATTGATTACGTTGTCAAAAAGCGTCCAGGCAAGTCCTTTGATCTTAGCCATAGCCCCTTGCCAAACTTTGTGGCACACTGGACTCACCCTGGAACTTCAGAAATAACCTTTGAGACCCAAGTCTTGCCCAGTGCCAATTGCTCAGACTGCGGTGTAGGCAGTGTGGGAGCCACTGCTTAACGAGAAGACAGAACTGCGCCTGCCTGTGTGCTGGGACCTTAGCTGCGTCAGTTCTAAACGTGGGTTCCCTCCCTTGTCCGTAAATGTGGTTGTTGTATGAACTGTCACGAAAATCTTAGTGGTCCTTTTCAGAACCAGTTTTTTTGTGTGTGATTTTAACATCAGTCTGAGGGTAAAACTGAAGCACTGTAGAAGTATCCATCTTTGATGCCAATAGTGTTACAAAATCCAAATTTTTACATTTAAAATATGTACAACTACTTCTAAAATTCAGATTTGCCTTCCCTCAAATATTTGAGTTTCATTTTAGCTGTCAGGGCAGATGGCAAAAGGAGCAGTTTGTTCCCTAGTCACGTCACTGGCGGTAAACTCAGGAGTCATGTCGTGTCTAAAGCGTTGTGGCTGCTCCGGCCGCTTCACTTGACTGATTTGGAAATCCTGCCATCGACGCTGCTGTGCTGTGCTGTGCGGTCAGCCCTGCTCGCTTCAGGAGAGCAGAACTGTCAGCAGAACTCAGTTTCCTTAGTAATCCCACCGAAGCGATTTTAAATGCTTCTATTCAGTGTGCAGAACTTCTCATTGCTGGCAGGGAGCTAACGGCCATGGTGACTGAATGGATAGTGAAGTATACGTCATTTTCAATCTGCGGCCTAAGCAGAAATCCCTACTGTTTCCAGTGTAAACATATGTACAGTACTACCACCTGCGCAGGATAGAAGGTTCTGTAGGGAGGAGGGCAAATGGCAGGAGTGATGTGTAAGCATCTGCACGTATCAGAATCAACAGAAGCATGCCCATTGTCCAGGTGTGGAAGGATTCAGAGTGCTAAAAGTGTCCTTTATGGTACTGGTCTAACTGAGGTCTCAGGGCTTCTGGGAAGGTCAGCCCTGCTTAAAAATGATAAAATGAATTGCTTCAAATAATTTTTTTTCCTTCCACAGTGTGACCTTAGCAATATATTACCACATAAAGAACAGGTGAGCTTCTAAAACCTGCCTTACTATTCTAGCTAATTACCTCGCATAATACCAAATATAGTATTAAGATGTAACCGTAGACATCGGATGTTGTAAAGTGCTTTTATTACAATATTGAAATGAATCTTTTATTAGAGTTTCTTGTTCTTAAGACCCTTTAAAGGCTCTCTAGTTATTGAAGGCTCTAAAAAAAAATATGGCCTTATTAAATTGATACTTGCTGGTTTATATATATTAAAATTAAAAATATACATTGTAGCCGGGCGGTGGTGGCGCACGCCTTTAATCCCAGCACTCGGGAGGCAGAGCCAGGCGGATCTCTGTGAGTTCGAGGCCAGCCTGGGCTACCAAGTGAGTTCCAGGAAAGGCGCAAATCTACACAGAGAAACCCTGTCTCAAAAAACAAAAAAAAAAAAAAAAAAAAAAAAAAAAAAAAATATACATTGTAACCAGCACAGGATTTTTCAAGCTTGATTCTACTAATTTTTTAATGTCTTGTTGTGGTATCTGCATGCATTGTAGGATGTTTAACAATGTTACAGTTATCCACTCTCATTGTGACAATCAAAATCACACCATCTTGTTAACATATTTTTGAAAAATGACTTTTTCTGCATCAAAAAATTGAGAAAACATCTCATTTGCATTTTTACAAATCTCTTTAATGTATAACTTTGTAGAAAGACAAGTAGATTTTCATGTTTCTCTGTCTTCACTTTGAATTTGTTTTAAAGAAGCTAGAAGGGGACTGGAGAGAAGGCTCAGAGGTTAAGAGCACTGGCTGCTTTTCCAGAGGACCTGAGTTCAATTCCTAGCACCCACATGGCAGCTCAAAACTGTAACTCCAGTTCCAGGGAATCTGACGCCTTCACACCAGTGCACATAAAATAAAGTTAAATAATTTTTTTTTCTGGTTTTTTGAGACAGGGTTTATAAATTATTATTTTAAAAAAGAAGCTAGAAGTCAGTCCTCACTCATAAACACTTGAGGGGAAGTTATTTTTAAAGCTTTCAGACTTTTTGATACTCTGTAGTATTACACTAAAGCTCCATAAGGATGTTTTATTGTAATAGAATTTTATATTTCTCAGTGAACTTTTACATTGTACTCATTGAGCTACATCTTGTATAGTAAATGAATCTTTAACTAGTACATAGTTCTGTGATACATCCTGTCATCTGGAAAAATCATGATTCCCCTTTCTTTATAATGTTAAAAACGCATTTTTGTTTTCAGTGCTTAGCAAGAAGTGTGAGCGCTGGAAAGCTGTGTCAGGCTTACATCAGAAGGCACAAGTTCCCAAGCTTGGCTTTTAAAAAGCTTGACAGCTTGAATTTTATCATGACAGATTATATTTTCCCCAAAGTGACAGGCCCACTACATTCAATTCTGAGAGTATTTGTAGTTACACATAAAAATGATACTCTGTAATAAGGAGCTGGTTGAGTTCACAGGTAAATCACAAGTGCTACATGTGATCATTCCATGTCCTCATTCAGAACATTAAAAAGAAGGGTCGGGATTAGTGATTGGTTGTCCTGTGTCATCAGAGGCCTGAAAGCTCAGCAGCAGTTTGAGAAAAGAATGGCCGTGGAGAAGGTCACGGACAGTGCTGCAGAGAGAGCCGTGGTTTCTCTGGGAACGGAGTGTGCGCGCATGCGCTTTACAGTTGAAGTGCACAGCAGGGCGAAGCGGGCAGTGCTTTAATAAGACGGGCAGTTTGGGGCGCGGGCCTCTGCTAGGCGGGGGACTCTCCCTCCGGTCCACAACCGCAGAGAAGCAGTGCTTAAGTAAGGGTTCATTTGTTTGATGAGCCTTTCAGTAAAAAACTGATGTTTTCAAAGAAAAGGCCGTATGAATTTGAATCCATACTCTTTATAAGAAGCAAGTGCATGATTTAAAAAACATAGAGCAAAGAACTAAAGAGAGGCAGAAACGTGCGAAATTTCAGGTTGGTTCATCTTCGTCCAAGTTCCCAGCGGACTGCTGATGTGGTTACCGGCACTGCCTGTGGAGGGTGTCCGGCTTCCCGGCCCCCCTCACGGGTGGAGATGCTGCGGTACTGAACAGAAAGAGGTTGGGGGACAAATCCGGGAATCGTAAACTGTTTGCATCGGTAAAGGCTGGGCTTCCCTTTCAGTCCCCCTACATCACAGTTGTTAACTTAGATACTAACAGCCTGTGTTACCTGTTAAACTTTATAGAGATGCAAATAGATCCCTGGACATTTTTGATGAGCGATCACATCCACTCACAGTAAGTGCCTGTTTGCTTTGTTTTTAAGTTGTATTTCCCTTTCCTAGAGCTGAGTTTATTCCATGCTTGCTTGTTTTGTGATTGATTACTAGGAGAAAGTTGCTCCTAGCTTGAGTACGGAGCATTGATTCATGGCTGTGATGGAGTAACAACAGCTTTGCTGCTGTGTCAAGTACTGAGCTAAGGGAAGTAAATGGATTGTCTAAATAGTAGAAAATGCAGCTTTCAACAGATCATCTTCAGTAGCATCACACGGCATAAATAGTTGAAGGAAATCCAACAAATATGTAAAGTCTCTCAAGAATATTAGGAAACTTTAAATCATTTGAAATGGCATAAGCCAGGTGTGGCTTGGGTATACCTGTAATCTCCATACCTTGAAGGCTGAAGCAGGATAGTGATTTGGAGTGTAGCCTATGCAATATAAATAAGACCCTGACTTGAAAAACAATCAAACAATCAAAGAAAGAACCTATAAAAACTTAAGAAGCCACTTCCTCAAGCATATGTTGACCACTCTTGATACTTAAGAGGCATACATGGCTGGTGACTGTTGTATGGTCAATTTAGTGTTAAGAGCCTATGGTTATAGGAAACTTAAACTTTGAAAAAAAGAAAAAAAACACTTTTTTTTTAAATTGGGGCAAGTATGACCCCTGTGATACTCTAGGATTAGTAAGGTTTCAGCATAAAAAGAATTGGGAGAGTCTATGGAAGAGTATAAAATTCCTGAGCTTCTGCTTGTGTGTCCCTTTAATAAGTGATTGGTGGGTGCTTAACAGTGGGTACATCTTCAATATGTGTTAGGTGATTTCATTATTCTGCCAACATCATAGAGTACTTAATCTAAGATGGCTACGGTATTATTTGTTGATATTTATGGAACTGATAATGTATACTTGGTCCATCAATGTCCTTCATGCCAATTGACTATAAGATCCCACACTTTATATTGAAACAAAGCTGAAAGTCACTGGGCATGATGACACACACTTTCAATCCCAGAACTCAGGAGGAAGAGGCAGGTGGATCTCTATAAATTCGAGGCCATCCTGATTTACATAGTGTCTTCCAAGACAGCTAGGGCTACAAAGTGAACCCTGCCTCAAAACAAGCGTACAAACAAAAAATGAAATAGAGCCAGGCTGTGGGGCGAACGCCTTTAATCCCAGCACTTGGGAGGCAGAGGCAGGCGAATCTCTGTGAGTTCAAGGCCAGCCTGGTCTACAGAGCGAGTTCCAGGAAAGGCGCAAAACTACACAGAGAAACCCTGTCTCGAAAAAAAACAAAGCAAAAAAAAAAAAAAAAATGAAATAATAAACTAAGTCATACCACCCAGGCCAAAAAGATGGCTCAGCAGGTAAAAGCACTTTCTGCTAAGCGTGAGAACCCGTGTCTGACCCCCAGTGTGATGGAAGGAAAGGACCAACTCCTAACGTTGTCCTCTGACCTCATGTGTGCACCACACTGCATGCCCATACATACATATACAAATGCACACAGTAAATGCTTAAACGGCAGCCATGGTACCCAGTTGAAATTATCTCGAGGAACATGTAGCACAATGTGGACACTGCTATCTTAAGAATACTTGAAAATTTCCTTCAGTCAATATTTACATTGTTGTTTTGTTTTTTTTCTCTTTCAGAGAGAGAAAGTTCCAGAGGAATACTTTAGGCATGACCCTGAACACAAATTTATTTACAGATTTGTTCGAACACTTTTTAGTGCTGCACAGCTGACAGCGGAATGTGCAATAGTGACGTTGGTAAGCTAGTCCTTTCTTAGCAAACTTTCTTAGGAAGTTTGTACCCAGATATGTATAACCCCTGAAAGTATCATAAGAACTTTAGTAAGAGGAACCTTCCCAAGGAATGCAAAGACACAGATTTGAATTTAACAGTCATTGTGGTTTAAAATGTTGCCATTGCTTTTATTATCACAAAACAATTGCCATTAAAGGCAGTTAGAGAAAGTTCCCCTTCATACCTCATTGCACACACACAGGGCATGTTAATGGGGCTGGAATGGGAAGCAGTAACAGACCCAAGTGGTTCACGGAAACCAGTTCAATGCAGTTTAAGGTACATGCCAGGCTGTGTCCCCAGATGCTTCTGCTGTGTGTTGTGATTGATCCCTGCCCAGTTCTCTTGTTCTTGGATGATGGCTGCCAATCCACCTCTGCTGATTACTTGTGTCTGCCTATGAAGCTGCCTGGGATTGTAGGACCAGTAGTTCTTAGAAAGGCTTTGTGAACTTGCTGAGCTACAGGTGTGTCCTTACCTTTCTGTCATCCATTCAGAAGGCCTGTAGATGAGACCATCATTTTGAGTAATGGATGCTGTTCAAGTGGTTGGGATTTTACTGCCCCAGTAGCAAATGCACAGTGAAAAGTCAAGTATCTGGCCTTGAGGAGAGAGTCCTTAGATTAGTACTACTCCTCCAGCATCCACTTGGACTCTGCAGAGGAGCTAGGTGCTGTGTGCATGGCTAGAGTCCCCAGTGGGCACTTCTGCTGTGGAGGCAGGTAATGCAGGATGGAGACTGGGGTGTAAACAAGGGAACTACCATTCCTGGAAGAACAAAGTGGCTTTGCCTGGTCCTTTGAATATACAGGACTGCAGACTGGATTTGAGTCAGGGGTAAAGAATTAAAAGTGTTTGTTGAAATGCAATACAAGAGGACAGCCCTCACAGCTCTACCATCAGTGTTTGGGAGATGACTATAGAGGAGGAGGCCGAGCACACAAGGAGGAAATCCAGGAATGAGCAATAGAAGTTGAAAGAAGAACCTTCCCACCATGGCAAATGCTGTAAGAGGCTCCAAGCATGCACTCTGGACAGCTGGGCTGCACCATGGCTGTAGCACCGGGGCAGAGAAGAGAGCAGGTGGGACAGAAGTCTTGGCTTACGCATGTGTATTCTAATGAAGACGATCACAGGTATTTTTGCAGGTGTTCAGATAGTTGTTACATGCCATGGAAACTGAGCATGGTAAGGGCTCCTAAGTGACCGGAGAGCTTTCTGTTTTAGATTGGAGGAGCAGAAGACCTCCTTAGAGACGTGGCATCAGAACAGTGGTCTAACTGCAAAGAGGAAGCCAAGGAGCGTAGGTATTTCAGGCAGTGGGTGTGATGCAGGGACATTCCATGTGCTCAAGGACAGCAGGGTGGCCGTGTGGTAGGAGTTGAGGACTAAGGGAGTTAAGGGAGAGGAGATGCCAGGGACAGTCCCACAAGGAAATGGGTTCCACATTGACTAGTTTCTTTTGGAAAGTCTTGAGCAAGGGGGAAATGATCTTAATTTAGGAGGCTTTCCTGACTGGAGAAGTAGACTGTAATTGGAGGTCAGAATGGAGGCCAGCAGAGTGTTAGGTTACCATACAGGCAAGCAGTGAAAAATGGCCCAGGATAGAAAGTTTTCAGATTACCATTGAAGACAGCAAGAACAGGTATTGCTTGCAGATTAGAATGGGATAACATAGAGCTTGGGCTTCTATGACTAGGCACTGGGGGGTTGGAGTGAAAACATACTTGGTTGTGAGTGAAGGATTGATGAGCCTGGCAAGAGCTGTTTGAGAATAGTGACAGCGGCCAGAGGCACAACACACGCGTGCACTAAGAAGTGGGCTGGAGGTGAGCTGGCATGTGCATGATCTGGTGAGCTTGGGAAGCAGCACTTGGGGTTGTGAGAAGTGACGTCAGAGCAGTCTAAACATTCATATTGAACTAAATCTCTGGCAGAGGGAAAGAGTCTTAAAAAAAAGCCATTTTGGGGGGAGTGCTGGTCACGGTGGTGTGGGCTTAGCCATCACATAGGACGTCTTGTCCCCACTGACACAGGAGGACAAGTGGTAGCCTGAGTGACAGCACCTAACGTACTATCAGGAAAGGACAGCCAAGGTGTGCAGGGCTCTGTTGCTCCCTGACTGCCTCTGAAGAACGGGGACTCTGAGAGAGACTCGCTCCTTGGATACTTGGCAGTGCCGAGGATGCGGGTGGGAGTGTAGTCTCACTGAGAATAGATGTGTGATATTTGGTGGACAGCATTAGTCTAAGGGCCTTAAAACAGTGACTGACTGTTAAAGTTGTTTCCCTTCTCATGGTGATAGAAAGCACTTACATACCATTTGAGAGGCACCTTGCACGTCAGAGCTCAGCACCTAGTCTCTGTCACCTGTAGATCACAGAGACTTGGTGGGAGCTTTTCTTGTCATCCTCCAAACAGTACTGTTGGCATTAGCATTTACATTGTTTGTACTGTTGTCACTAATCTAGAGGTGACTTAAAGCATATGAGGCTGAGCGTGGTGACCCATCCATGTAATCGTAGTACTTGGGAGACTGAAGCAGGAGGGTCGCAAGTTCAGGGCCCGTCTGAGCTACATAGTGATACCCTGTCTCACAAAGCAAGGAAGGAGGTGTTATATGCAAATACTGCCAGATGTGTGTGTGTGTGTGTGTGTGTGTGTGTGTGTGTGTGTCTGTCTGTCTGTCTGTCTGTCTTAAGCATCCTTGATCTTAAAACCAGTCTCCCTTGGATACCAAGGAACAACCAATATCTCTCTGAAGAGAGACTTTTGAAGTAACAATTCCCAGCTTCCTTTACAGTCTTCACTCAACTAACCTCACCCAGTTGCCTATAGCAAAGGCATTTGATTTGTCTAAGATCATCCGTGAGAGTGTCTCACAAACACCCTGCCCGGTTTAAGAGTCCAGGGATAGACTGGCAGCTCTGTTTCCACCTTAAAGCCAAGCGAACTACAAATTATATAAAAGAAAACAGCTTCTTGGAAGTGACGATGGAGAGGGGAAGATGAGGTGTGAGGGAGCACCCTTGGGTGCAGGCGCTTCCTGAGAAAGGCACTGTGCTTGTGGTGCTGTCTGCCCAGTAGCCACTGGGAGGCTCTCTTGTCCTCGTTACTGTGAACTGGAAGACGTAAATGTGCTCAGGGTGACTTGGTTTTAGACGTTTGCTCCTGGCATGCCTGTAAAATCATGTAAAATTAACACGGGAGAGACTTGGTGTTTCCTGACAGCCTGAGTCTACGCTGGGCCTGTCTGCTGCTCCGCAAGTGTGAAGACTGTGCCGTCCTCAGGACGCCCGTCACTGAGGGGCAGGCCTTGCTCTGATGCGTGAGCAGGGCAGGCAGCAGAGCAGCCTGACCCTTGCCGTGGTCTCTGTAGCTCCCCTGTCAGACAGAGGAGTCACTCATACTCAGCGCTTACCCGAACCAAGTCAAAGACCAGCGCTCTGCTTTTGCAGGTTTACTTGGAGAGACTTCTAACTTACGCTGAGATTGACATCTGTCCCACCAACTGGAAGAGAATTGTGTTGGGAGCCATCCTTCTTGCCTCCAAGGTCTGGGATGATCAGGCTGTGTGGAATGTGGACTACTGCCAGATTCTCAAGGACATTACAGTCGAGGACATGTGAGTTCTGAGGTTTCGGTGAACTTTCTAACCATTTGTCTAGTACTCCAATTTGCTCCCATAAGCTTTACATAAAATTTAAAGAGTGTTTTTAAAGGCTGTTTTGAACAGCCAATGGAAATAGACATAAACCTACATTCTTTCTGTCCAGCTTTATAACTGTTCATATCTTCTGTCATTAATTGGTAGGTGTTGATGTAGTATTTATAACAATGTGTTGGATAAACTTTTCTTGTGGTTTTGGCGTCCTTTGCAAGGACAGCATAGCACAGTATATATTTTGCTGCTTTTTAAAACCCACCAGTTCTGCTCCCCTTTTAAGGGGTACATGCCTGGCTTTTGAAATGTGTCTGTCTGCCAGTGTTCATGTCTTAGAGCCTCTGGACTTCTGCGAGGTTCGAGCTTTAGCCTGAGTCTTTGATTGTGTATTTACTTCTGTTGGTCCTACGCCTTTTTTTTTAAATCTAAGCATCTAGAACAGAAACTATGAGGTACAAAAGTAAAAAGAGGATGCTCCTGCCTCCTCTCCATGTGGAGTGTTTGTTTTTAGAAGTTGGTCTGATGGGCTAGAAATCTCAGGATTCCGCTCAGGCAGGCAGCCCCAGAAGCAGCTCAGGGGCTTGCTTCACCAGGTAAAGGGCACACTCTGCACTGCCCTGTCCTACTCTGCCGGCCCCAAACTGCCAAGAGCACAGCCTCAGTGATGGCCACCAGCATGGTGCTGGAACACACCGAAGGAAGAGCAGGCCTGTGACGTCTGCAAGAGGAGCACCAGAGGTTTCCTGCAGACTTGACAGCGTCCACTTGACAGTGGAGATAGATGTCTGTGGGCAGCACGTAAGATAGCGTAGTGACGAAGAAACCCTTGGTTATGTTGATTATCATAGGAAGATCAATACATAATGAGGGTAATTGAAGTTACCCATTCCTGTAGTTAGGACTGTCCCTCAGAACCACCACACTGTTCGTAACTGAAGTGACTAAGGGACCACTGTTGGCAGCAACTGGAGTGTCTGGTGGAAGTGACCACTTTGTGGCACTGGTAGCCACCTGACCAAAGGATATGACAAAATTTGAAACAGATGGACATAATGTACTTTTGGAAATTACCAAGGCCAGAGTGACTTTGATTACTGTGTCAATCGTACAAACTGGCTCCTGGAAAAAACAAAATGTGTAATCATATATACTGTAAACGGCAGCTGAAAATATTTAAAACTTAAACTCAGCTGCCAGGGGCTCTAGTTTAGTTGTAAGATCAGAAAAGGTGCAGGAAAGTATTTGAGTTTCCCGGACACGACCCCACTGCAGGGCCGTGGTGGCAGTCTGGTACTCTTTGCCACCCCTTTGTTCTGAGCAGAGGAACACCAGGAGCCGTGTTCCCAATAGTCGCCTTGTGTTTATGGTCCTGGAGAACTGAAGAGCATGGCAGGTTAACATGCATTTGTCTGCTTCCCTGCTGTTGGCGATTTGGAGTGCCCTTATTATTTTCCATCTAAATTAAAAGTTAAAAATCAGTATCTGTCAGATTTCCCTTAAAACTTTCCACTATGTATGTGTCTTGTTAGGGTATATTTCTATTGAAAAGAATAAGTTAACTAGGCAGCTGCTGCTCAGAAAATGTACTGTGCCGATAAATAGTGTGCATTCAGCCATGTGAAAAAACAACAACAAAAACCCAGAAGGTGCATATTCTGTTGGCATAATGCTTTTCTTCAGTGATTAAACCTCTATTAATAGCCGTGTTAATCCCGTGAAGGACTGTGTTTCAACACAGTTAAAATGTATTAGTGGAGAAAATATAAAAGGGACAGAGAAGTACATTTGTTCCTGTAGCAAATTAAGTCTTGATTACCTGATTATTAAAACATTATCTGATTTACATTTCTATAGGCTTATTGCCATATGAACAGGAAATTAATTTTGGAAGTAGACTGCTTAGCTTTAATTTTAGCAAATGAGAAAACCATATTTTACCTACTTTCCATATAGAATGTCAAACACTTTTTGAGGCAGTGAAGAAAATATTAAAAATTTAAAACTAAGAAACCAAGTAAGTATGTTCTAAGACAAGCCTCTGTCGTGTTTGCTTAAGTATTTATAATTTTTCTGTAATTTCTGCAGGGATTATGACTGGTCAGGTTTACTCTAATTTTGTGGGGGTTCAGCAAGGTCAGTATGGTCACATAGCACAGAGGGGCTCCTTGTCCACCTTTCCCACCGTATTGAGCTCACCCGTGTGCACATTCTGTCCTGGCTGGGACAGCAAATGCTGAGTGTCCTGGGGGCTTTATTTCCAGCACAAGAACCGATTTCTTGGTACACCAGGTGTAGTGTACTCAAGTGGGTTTGGGGTAGCCAAGACATCTGTCTTTGATCTCTGCTTTCCAGAGTTTCCGATGAGTACCTGACTGTCACAGTGACAGTTTGTCACCTTAGTCTAATATTAAGGGGAGCAGAAACTTGCATTGTGCCCTTTGACATAGCCTCGTGCTGGGGCAGGGGGAAGGGATTTCCTTTCCCGTCCAGTGTGGCTTATTTATTTTTTTATTTATTTATTTGAGATGAATCCTTGTTGCCTCAAGAGTTTTCCCCCTCAGAGATAATAGCGTGGCTCTCGATGGATCCATTTGTTGCCGTGGTGATATGCCCACTCCTTTTGTTGGCGCGTCTCTACTTCAATAAGCCCCTTCCTGTTATCAGCCTGGGGAAATGTCTGCAAGTTCTTCAGAGCTAATAAACAGCATACATCACTCCTTTCATCTGCTCACTATAGCGGGCCTGCGAGTGAGCGTGGAGGACGGCCGCACAGCTGCACTAATGGAACTCTGAAGAATGAGCCTGCAAGTCAGCAGCACAAGTGCAGGAGAGGGCCGTAACCTTTCCCCTCGGCCCAGACGCAGTGCTGGGATGCAGAGAGGACCACGGATGCTCACCCTTGTTTGATTGAGCATTAGGATGTTAGTCCAGCTGGTAGCCTTCATGGGTTCCAAAACAGAATTTAGAGCTATTCTAGAAACTCTGAATGATAGTTGTGAAGATAGCCCAGTTGACTAAAATTGTCCTGTGTGGGTTTTGCTGTGTTCCTCCTCCCCAGGAATGAGATGGAAAGGCATTTCTTGGAGCTGCTCCAGTTTAATATTAACGTTCCTGCCAGTGTTTATGCCAAATACTACTTTGACCTTCGCTCCTTAGCAGATGACAACAACCTGAATTTTCTGTTTGCTCCTCTCAGCAAAGAAAGAGCGCAGAACCTAGAGGTAAGGCTGCATTCACTAAGTGGGGTTTGCTGCAGGCCCAGCCAACATCTGTGAAGACAATGGAAAGCTTTTAAATTAGCACAGTGGAGAGGTTATTATCTCTTTGGCATCATATTTCCTGGTCCTTTTGTGTTTCTATAAGTATCTACATTATATAGAGAGGTAGATACTGCCTCCTGTGATCACAATTCAGTCTTTTTAACCAAATGAAATGTAGTTATAATAGTTTCCCTATTGAAGCTCTGCATTCCCACATAATCATATGTAGATAAGTTCTTGAAATTATATTCTTAATTATTCCTACCTATATATCACAACTCTGCTGCACTTCATTCGGTTGACAAATTGTCAGTTAGATACCATGAGTTTATTAGCATTAGTGGCTAAACTGAGAGACCTATGTTTAGGATGCAAAATGCAAGTGTATTTCTCATACTAGATACAGGAACTACATAGTGTTTTCATAAAAGTGGTAACAGGCACCAGGGAGGTGGCTCAGAGGCTTGAGAGTGGATCCAAATACCAGTGGTGACACCTAGTGTCTCTCAACTGTCTATAACTCCAGCTCTAGGGGATCAGGCACCTTCAGATCTCCGTGGGTAGCCCTCCCCTATACACATATATACATAAATGTTTTTAAAAACTGAAAGTGGTAACTTAAATAAGGCAAAGTAATATTTAGGGGGGCTGGAGAGATGGCTCAGAGGTTAAGAGCACCGGCTGCTCTTCCAGAGGTCCTGAGTTCAATTCCCAGCACCCACGTGGTGGCTCATAACCATCTGTAATGAGATCTGGTGCCCTCTTTTGGCCTGCAGGCTTACATGCAGGTACAACGTGTATACATAATAAATAAATAAGTCTTTAAAAAGAAAGTAATATTTATGGCTTAAAATTTTTAGTAACTGTCACAGTGATTCACATACTTTAGGATGGAATTTCCTTAAGTACCTTGATGATTTAGAATGTTTTTCTACTGTTAATGTGCTAGTGAAATAGTCATTAGACTCCTACCATCAACTATAACACTGGTCAACTTTTGTTAGACCATTGGAACTGAATAAACACTAATTGTTTTGGCACGGGTGTGTGCTCATGTTTAGGAAACAGTTATTATACAAGTAACATGATACTGATGTAAAAAAGCCCGTCACAACATCTCCATCTTTGAGAACTCAGTTGGTATGTGTGTGGTATGTGCATGTGTGTGGTGGCCAGAGGCTGCCATAGGTGTCTTCCTCAGTTACTCTCCACTTACATTCTACAGTAGGGTGTCTCATTGAGCCTGCAGCTCATCAGGTTGTTAGATGGTCACTGAGACTCCTTTTACCACTTAGTAGCACTGGGATTACAGGTCTGTGCCACCACACCTGGCACATGCCAAGGAACCCAGTCTCCAGTTCTTATGCATGCACAGCCAGCATTTTACCTGCAGAGCCATGTCTCCAGCCCGAGGAACCAGGCTTTTAAGTAACTTAAGTTGCCAGTTTCCAGGCATTGAGTCCTGACCCTGAAAAGATTAGGAAACTAGCAGGAAGTAGCATCCCCAAGGCGTAGCACTGTAGACCTTCATCCTCAGATAGCCCAAGTGGCTGCATTTGTTTAGAATCTAAAGGATGGCTCAGTATACCAGTAAGTCTCCATGGAGGTAGTTTGTGTTGCTTTTTTTGTTTGTTTGTTTTGTTTTCCTTTAGGTTGCATTCTTTTTAAACCTCTGTTGTTTGATTGCTTTTCCTAGGCCATTTCAAGGTTGTGTGAGGACAAATACAAAGACTTGTGTAGAGCTGCTATGAGAAGATCTTTAAGCGCTGATAATTTCATTGGTATTCAGCGCTCGAATGCCATCCTTTCTTAAGAGAGAGACATGAGGAGTGGGAACACCAAGGACTCCTCATTGACAAAGACTGGAGAAATAGCACCTCTCCTGGTCAGAGACCAGCATAGGTGGGACTCCACCCAATGGAAAGACCTCAAATTCACGAGACTCTGGACAGTGACTGCTGACTCCATAGGAAAGAATGGGACCTTGTCAAAACAACCACTCTCTGTCCTTTGTAATGTAAACAGTTACAAAAACCACTCCAAAGCAAAGCTCTGACCACACACAGATATTGCTTACCATGTAGGCCAATGGCTGTGAAATATGTGAGGTTTTTAAATTGTTTCAATTTTTAGACTTTCGTTTGAGACAGGGTCTTATGTAGCCTGGGCTGGCCTCAAACTCAATATATGACTGAGGCTGGCCTTGAACTCCAGAATCTTCCTGCCTCTACCTCCCAAGTGCTGGGATTACCATGCCTGGCTCAGATTTTTAGACTTTAAAGACACTAACCATATAACTTTTGTTTTTCTTGCCCCACCCACCCCCTCCAACTGCTGCATATGCTTTTAGAATTGATTCAGTATTACCATTAAAACATGAGACTCCTTCCCATTTTTGTGGTGCTGGGAATCAAACTGAGGACTTAGCATGTGCTCGGTGAGCACTTGACCACTGAGCTACACTCCTCAGCCCCAAGCATGGGATACTTAACACTCATGAAACCACCTAGGAGCACGTTGTAGCATCGTTGGGTATTAAAAGCTCTCCTACTGTGTCATCAAGCTGCTAGTCATTATTGGCAATCAGTTTAAATTACCAAAAAGCTGCTGGCTAACACTCGCCATTCATATTCTCTGCAAGCACTGCTTGCTGGCATTTTGGTATGTTTGGAGCCATAAAGAGAAAGTATCAGTTGTTGCCGACTTCTGTTGGGTCCACGCTGCATTTCCTGTGAACTATTAATGGTGCTTCTCATTTTCTGATGGTTTTTCTCATTGTTAAACAAGTGTATTAAAAGATATTTTCATAATGCCAAACAACATAGTGGTCTAGTGATCATGAGCAAATAGCAAAAACACAAGGTGTCCCCCCAAATTAGTGATGCTTCTTTACACTTAGTGGTCCGTGTCTGGGCTCTCTGGGAATACTGCAGCAGAAGTAGAAAAGCCACAGGCCTTCACAAAAACGTCATTTGAAAGTTTTAATTTTACCAGTGTGAAATAATTAAGTTTCTAATTATTTTTTTGTTTCTCTTGAAGATTACAAACAGTGAACCAAAAAATTAAAACTAAAGGCTTGATATTCCAAATTTGGGGGATTAAGTTGAAAAGAAAGGTAAAGTAAAACTTTTAAATAATGTCTCATTCATTAGTTTGTAGCATTTATGACTCTCCAGATATCAGAGTATAAACCTGCCCTGAGATTTGGGGGCTGCCGTGTATCTCCATGGAAGCTCTCCTTCTCTCTAGTAGTTCTTTGCCAGGCTGGGCTCCAACCGCTTTGATCACCTAAGTGTCTTTACATTCAGTTAAGGGAGGTTAGGGAGAACACTGTTAACTCACATATAACACATGAAAAGGAATCTGATCCGCAAACAGCAGGTGAAATGAGCGATTAAAAACAGTGTATCCTGCACGTCTGCCTGGGTGCGGGTATCTTCGGAACTGCACCCAGGAGCCCAAAGCACAGGCTTTAAAAGGCGGGGAGGAGATGATTAGGAAAATGATGACAGCAGTGACTAAATTAGAAATAATGAAAGATTGTGTTTTCAACTACGTGCATTCAATTCTCCTCACACGGAACCTGGGGAGTCTTATGTAAACAAGACCTTTGTGGGCCAAGAATACTTTCTCTTGCGGCTGCAATGCTTCACACGCTCTCAAGTGCTGCCGGGTTCATCATTTTCAAAGGACAGACGTAAATGTTAAGGAAGGATGTATGAAATACTACAATCTACCACCTCAAAAAAACATTGTTTATGGAGTTCAGAGCTTAGAGATTCAAGTATTGATTGCAGTTTTATTTTGAAAAGAATGCTACAACTTAACGTGGTTTTTCTTTCTCATGTTTATATTAAAAGAAAGGCTAATAAATTCTATTTTAATTAAAATATGGCTAGTGTGTTTGTACCGCTTCCCTGTCCACAGGGCATTGTATCTCTCTAGAACTTGTGTTTACCTTGGTCCTGAAGACTTGCATAGTTTCCAACTGACCAAGCTGCTTTGATTCATGGTCTAGTTCAGTAGTGATTGTCTTTGCTTAGACTGTGTTCTGTCTGAAGATAATGTATCACAGCAGGAGTCTGTCTAGCCACTTGGTACTTAGTGACATGGTGCAGTAGATGGCACACTTGAACAGTTCATCATGGTCAATCAGGAAGGGTCGGTTCAGTAGATGAGATTATAGGTACACACCAAAGAGAAAGCAGTCGCCCGAATAGTATCAGATTAGAACGCGTTCCTTGAGTGATAAAACAGAAGGATGGGAATTTGAACTGGGGTTGCTTCAAACACGCTGCGCTGCGTGGTGTTTCAAGTTTACATGTCATGTGTAAACCCAGCCAACCTAAGGGCTTTGTTTTTGTTTTGAGCCAGGGACTCTTAACTATGTATCCTTGGCAGATCTGGAAATACTGAACACCCCCCCCCTTGCTCCTTAGTGAGTTCCCTGATGTAAGCAATGCTTATTGAATCGTGCTCATGCTGCGCATTTATTTACTTTTACTTTTTCAGTTTTTGAAGTCAGATCGTTCAACGATGAATCAATCCCTTTGTTCTTGACATAGGATAACTGACACTTTAGGAAGGGGAAACCTGTCATAAATCACATGAGCCAGTCAGTGGTGGTGCACGCCTTTAATCCCAGCGCTCGGGAGGCAGAGGCAAGCAGTGGATCTCTGAGTTCGAGGTCAGTCTGATCTACAGAGCTAGTTCCAGGACAGCCAGCATGGTTACAGAGAGAAACCTTGTCTTGAAAAAAAAATAAACACGGGGCTGGAGAGATGGCTCAGAGGTTAAGAGCACCAACTGCTCTTCCAGAGTTCAATTCCCAGCACCCACATGGTAGCTTACAACCATCTGTAATGAGATCTGGCACCCTCTTCTGTATACATAATAAAAATCTTTAAAAAAAAAAAAAAAAAAACTTATTACAAAAAAACCACATCAGAATTTGTATCTTGCAGCAGGAGAGATGGCTCAGTGGTTAAGAGCCTGTATTGCTCATGTAGAGGACCGGAGTTCGATTCCCAACACCTGTATCAAGCACCTAATGGCTCTCTGTAACTCCAGGAGATCTGACATGCTCCTGACCTCAGGCACAAGCACGTGTTGGCAAGTTAATATTTTTTTTAAGGATTTGCATCTTCTATGTAGAAATGCTGACTGCGTGAGTTGACAGATGTTAAGACAGTGATCTGTTGACATGAATCTGATGCTTTTAGGAAGTTGGCACCACGAGTACACTGAGAATTGGCTTTTCCCTCTTTGACCTTGACACTAGAATGTGAGAGTCATTGTGATAGTGGGAAATTGGATCAACGGAGAGTATAAATGTCACTGAAGGTGGGTAGGGTCTCCCGACAAATGAGGCATGGAAACCAAATCCCCAGGAGGGTGCTAACTAGCATCTTCTCGGGGTTCTGCACCCGAAAAGATAATAAAAAGGAACATCTACCCAGACTCTCACGCATTCCGCTTTTGTGTTTTAAAAGACGGGGGTGATAGTGGTCTGTTTGGTTTTTTAGTTTCAACCTCTAATAATTTAGACTTCAACTATTTAAAATTTGTATTTATTTTTTGAGACAGGGTCTCACTGTGCAGGAGGCCTCACTAGCCTGGCACTTGCTCTATAGACCAGGCTGGCCTTGAACTTGAGATCCTCCTGCCTCTGCCATCAGAGGGCTGAGATTAAAGGTCTGTGCCACAATGACTCCCGAGTTTTAACTGGTGTGTGATGATTGCATTATACAAAAAAGACGGGTCTGAATGGTTTGATCCCAGTGAACTACCATTCTTGCAGGCTGAAAAGTGGCTGCTGCCTAGTAATTCCTGGTGTTTATCGTTAGATTTCTTTGTATCAGTTTCCAACCCAGCCCACCCTTTCACATTTCCTGTTTTCGTTGTTGTTTTTTATTCAATTACAGAACTCTGGTTTTATGACAGCTCAGCTTGGTTTCGTTTCTTCTATCCCTAAACACAGTATCCCTTGGTTCAAAGACGCCAGTCAGTCGGTATTACAACACAGGTATCAGGTTAGACTGTTTTCATAAGCTAAGCTATGCAGGCTAGCTAAAACCTTTCATAACCCAGTCTGTCCTCCAGCCACGTTTAAAACAACTGGTTTGCCTGCCTGGTCCTTCACCCAGAAGCTGCATTCTTAAGATAGCACTATTTGGAAAGAAAGCACTCCGCAGAGAACTATCCCAAGGTAAAGTGCTAGTTTCTATGTAAACTGTGTACCTAGTGTGGGTCAACAAGTCCAGCATAAGATCACCTCCAGTCTAACTGCCAGCCACTTTAACCTGGCTCGAGGCTCGGCACTGTGCCCGCCAATGCCACGGTGGATAGAACAGGGCTGTTTCCCCTGGTATCTAAGAGTAGCCTTGGATTCTTGGGCTCTTTTCACTCCACCATTGTAGGTGGGTGTGCCAGAAAGGGGACGTGTACTTACTGTGAAATAAACGTCAGCAATCTCACCTTGTGGTTGGCAATCTTCGGGGTGCAGGAAGGGATGTGAAGTTGTATCCAAGAGGAACCCTGACTCCAGTGGAAAGTTAACATTCTTTTAAAAGGGAGAAGTTCAGGTAGTCTTTCAAGGTTTTAAAACACCTAGCCATGTAACGGCAGTAAAAATTGGGCAGTTGCAGTGTGACTAGGGAAATTCATAGTCCCAGAACCTATGAGCCACTTGAGTATGACGGCTTAAACACCCTGCTGCTCCATTTCCTTAACCTTCAAGTCTGCAAACCACCTGAAGTGCCAGTGGTTATTCTCTAGTACAACTAATTCCCCCAAAGGCTGAGATGCTTTGTGCTCCGCCCCCTCCCCCACCCCACCCCCCACACTCCCTACCCGGCTCGAGCCCCTGAGGGCCTGTTGGAGTAGGACCATTCCCAACTTTGTCACCTGTAATCTTCCTGGCTAATGTCCAACTTGGCACGCTTCGTGCTGGTTACCATAAAAGCCCTCCACTGGCGCCAGGTCCGAGGAAATGCAGGCTTTCACTGGCTCACAGGCGATCTGGCTCCTTAGCTCGCCTGTGCCGGCCCACCCACCTTCCCCAGAGCAGCTGCCTCCAGCTCCTCCGTGCTTAGCAGTTCCGTGGCTGACAGTGCAGTCATTGAAATATCACACTGTGTCTCGATAGGGTCACCAAACCAGCTACCTCTCATCAGCTCAAAGTCCAAAGTCAACAGTGAGCCTTCTCTAAAAGCAATATGGTTATCATGAACTCTGGATCCCAGAGCACTAGTGTGAAGTCTGATGATGTCTAGAGTTCAAAGGGCCAGCCTTGACTTCTTAGTTGTAACATGTACCATGGTTTAAGACGTTAACACATATTTGATCCCAGCAACTGAAGCAGAGGCAGGTGGATCTCTCTGAGTTTGAGGCCAAGTCTGTGGACTACCATAGTTCCAGGACAGCTGTCTCTACATAGAGAGACCTGTCTCAAAACAAAACAAAACAAAAGATTATTAGCATTAGGGGAAATGGGTAAGGAGCAAACAAGAACTTTATTCATGCATTTTTTTTAAATGAGTAATTTTAGAATTTACATAAAATTACTCCCAGGTTTAAATATCTTTATAAAAAACAAAACCCACTGAAGGTCCTAGGGCTAACTTAATCTCCTGTCCTGGGGCTGAGACTGGAATGCATTTCCCAGGAAGAGCCCCAGTTGATTCTTATGCAAACAGCCAGTGGGAGCTGTTCTCTCCATCCCTCTCCATCCTGCACCAGGAACAGTGGCAGACTCCTAGCTTTACTTACCTTTGAAATCTTCGGAACCCCTAAACGTAAGTACTATTCTTCTCTCTTCACAAATGAGAAATCTGAAACACAGGTTAAGTGTCCCGATCTGGGCCTATAAGTAGTGGGGCTGGGATTTGAACCAACAATCAACCTGTATCCTCAATCCACACACACACACACACACACACACACACACACACACACACACACACACACACTCCCTCTAAGCATAGCTTCCATCTTGACAAACTAAAGAACTCTGTAAACTGAGTCATTAAAAAAAAAGAAATGGTGTTATTGCCAGTGATTTTGGGGGGCCCACCCTTCCTCCAACCTTTTAAGGACCCTCTGCTCCAGCTTCTGATTACTCTTTCTCCCTTTCTCCACTGGGCGAAAGTGAGCCAGGAGAAAATAAGGTGGAGACATACTAGAGTCTTGTACATGCATGTGAATTGTAGTTACTCTTCAGCAGATGCTGCTCTATGTTTCTCAGACTGCCTCTCTCTCCCCGACATATACTGAAGTCCGTGGCAATCACACTGACACTGGGTTAAATGGCCATTATTATATTTCTGTCCTATACATCTAAAGCCTTAAGTACCCATCTTTCCCTCACATTTTCCCACAACGCCTGAGAGTATCGCTGGAGAACACCATGAGATGTTACCTTAGGGACTTACTGAATTTTGTCAAGGCAGGAACCCACATGTAGAAGCTAGTCCAGCAATAAGCGTTCTGACGCCCAGTCAAATTATCTGGGGATGGGGAAGGGAACTGGGTGTTATTCTCAAAAATTTTGGTCCTCTCTCTTGGCTCCTGACTTGAAGTAATTTGAGCTCAACACCTGCCCCTCAACCAGACACACAGAGCATGCAGCTTATGGAATAGGCACAATGCACCCATGTGATCAAACAGAACACAGTCAGACCATGTCTCTGTTCTTCACGGAGCGCCCTTCATTTCTTCAAGTGAATAGTGAAGCCAACAGAAGTGTAGGCGAGAGAAACCCACAGGAAGCACGGGTGAGGAAAACGTGTTCCTCTTGTGGTTGCAATTTGGTCGATTATACTGATGAAAATTCAGTTGCTTATACTCTAAGGATATCTGAGACATCTGACGATCAAGTTAGGATCTGCATCTCAGATACTCTTAGAAACCAGTGCATTTCTCCATAAATAGGAGAAAAAGACTCTACAGCGTTATTATATTTTCTTCACCATTGCTTTAATGCATTTTAAAAAGTTATCTACATGAATTGGGAACAAAGAAACAAAAATAGACATTTCTTTGTTTTTCATAAATAACTAATCTCCATATTTGATAAAAATCTTAAACCATTATTTTACTTTCCCACAAATATAATACAAAAAAATTCCAAAATAATAAGGTCAACAAGTTAAGGATCTTGAGACTAACATAACCACATATAATTGCTGTTGTACTGACTTCCAGGCACAAAACAAAACAAAACCTCTCTCCAGAATACTCTGGGTTTCCTTTTGCTAGTGTTATGGATTCAGAATTTTAATCATTGCCAGTCAAGCTGATTGTCTACAAATAAAATATTGCTGGCTCTGACTTGTGAGTGCTGGATTTGGCATGACAGTGACGATTCTTACTGCATGGGATGGATAGGCACTATACATGTATGCAAATCATACACAGCACTGAATGCCCTGGACCCCAACTACTGACTCGGTATGTGCCTCATCTGGCTCAGTAATAAATTCACCTGCACCAACCCGTATCAAAAGTCACTAAATCTCTCTCTCATATACATATACATATATATAATATATATATTACGTATATACATACCCACAAAACATACATACTATACACAGTTTGTAACAACATGAATTAATATTGTCTTCAAATGATGTACCACAGACAGACATTATTATCCTGGATTTAAAAAAAATAAAATAAAACACCCTGCAACTGTCATTGAGCTACCAGAAGCTTCTGAGAGTCTGAACAGGGTTGGTTACATCCTGCCTCCCCTTCACCCTTCTTTGATGTCTTGATAATTTTCCTTTCTGAGCTGTCTTCCCCAAGCCAGGCCATTTCTTTCCCAGGATCACTTGATTGGACTTCGGAGACAAGAAAAGGACGCAGGGAGGCAGCAGGCAATTCTTAGCGGCCCCGGTACCTCACACCTGCCTAGATTTGTGATGTGCTCAGTCCTGTTTGCCACATTCGGGTGTTAGAAAGCACTTATTCAAAGCTTTGTCCCTCCCACCCCCCTTGGTCTTTCTGTAGAGCACAAAAGTGAAAGGAGCTTCCTTAGCGGGGCATAGCAGTTCATTAAAATATACAACTCTGCTCCCTAGCTCTGGGGTTCCCATTCTACGCTCGCCGGTGCAGGTCACGGATGCTGTTATTAAGGTTGGGTGTCTGATCCATGACGTTTTCTCTTGGCAGCCGGTGTCAAGATTAGTGCTGCCCTGGCCCAGGAGGGAACAGCCTAATGAATACCAACTTAGAACAAGTGCCATCGGGCGACATGTTAGTTAAGCTTGGACATGCGCACAATTACACACGAGGCATGACACCCAGGCCCTGGCCACTGGCGATGGTCACATGAAAATATGACAAAAGGGTTGCGAGAATAAGCCAATAAGGCACCAAGGAAAATGATTCTCATCCAATTCAGACAACTTCAAAGTGTGAGGGAAATAATATTTTTAAATAATAAAAAAAATTAAAAAAAAAATCAAACCAAACCAACCATCCTAACATTTGGCCATTGGAGGTCCCATGTCTTTCTTTAGACTACCTAAATCCTCCCCCTCTGACCTGGGAAGCATCAGGAGGCTCCAAGAGGTGAGAGAGGTGGCCAGAACGTGCACACTGGAGCTGCCGCCCGGCCAAGTCCTCCCCAGCGACACAAAGCTGGCGGGGCAGAAGTTACTGAACTGCCCAACAGCTTTTCATGTCATTTCATTGATTGTTATCACAACAGAAATGCAAAGCAGAGGGAAATGTGTGGTGGGAAGAGGGGGTGACCATCGGTACAGGCAGCTTCCCGCTCCCCTCCCCTAGGGCTGGCCAGAGACGGATGTGAAGAAGGCTTCAGGGAGGCAGGTGGGCTCTCTCTTTGTCTCCTGAGGGAAGGAGAGAAGAAAGGAGGAGGAGGGCAAGGATGAGAACAGAAACAAAGAGAGATCTGAGGCTTCTTCCAATCTACGTAGTCCACCGCCTTGGCATCCATCTGTTTCAACTTTCCTATTTTTCAAAGGGAATTAATTGCTCTTTTTCCACCTTGGCATGTTGCTAAGACGGAAAAAAAATCTTTTTTTTTTTAAATGAATTAAATCACTTTCCTCCACTTCATCCCACAACGTTTAGATACACTGTACATCTTTTCTAGATTCCTCCACAGTTTTCACGCAAACTCGGGCCGCAGATCCCGGAAAGATGTGCTGCTAAACAAGCCAAGAGGTCGAGGGGCTAAGAAAAGGGCCTCATTTGAAAAGACAGGAAAAGTGGTGCTGAGGAGACAGGGGTCTATTGAGCTTCCCGGAAGAAGTTCCTGAATAGAGACTAAGACTCTGACAGAGTTCTACAGCTAGGTGTGCATGCCGGGAGTTTTGTGGAAGCCACCGAAGTTTCCATTTCGATTCAAGCATCCGTGAGTAAAGGTAGCGCATTTTGCACACGGGAACAGCTTCTGAGCAACCCGAAGACTTAAGTCTTCAGCATTTCTCTTTCTGTCTCTCTCTCTCCTCCCTGCCTAGACTCCAGCTGTTTTTCTAGGGAAGCTTTGTGAAGTTTTCACGGCTTGGCCATTTGAGCTCCCTAAGTTTCGTCCCCACTCTGCCTTCTGTGGGGACGAAACTTCTGTGGGGGTCACTCGCTGGCACTTGCTGGCTGATGCACATTTCCCAGTAATGGCCCTCACACTCTTAGTGAATGAATACAGATTAGGAAAGCAAACAGACTTTTCTAATAGCAGAGAAGCTGGGGGGGGAGGGGCTGTCGGTCACGATACAGGCTTTCTCAGAAGAGCAGGAAGAGAGAGCAAGCGGGGGGG